CCTATGTACATAGAAAATATCTAAGCTTCAATTAATTGAGCTTTATGTACTCACAGACCACTTTTTGGCATGTGCATCATCATCATAAATCACGGGAATACTTCGTACCTTAGTGGGGCCTTCAACCTTATTTTGTGTACGTACCTGCATCAGCCTGTCCTTTTCAGTTTTGAGCCTCAACTCTAAACTTCTAAACTTCCCATCGCGTCTCATCAAATATGCTAACGCTACTTATGCTATCTTTAGGTTCTCATTCAGCTTCTATAGGAATTACTATAATGCTGATGTAGTATTGATGATAAGCTTATTGTTGCTAGGAATCAATATTCCCATAGTCGATTAAAATACGCGAATCCTGTATAACTTTCGCCATGTCTAATCCAGCACCACAAAGTGCTGGAACTGGAGGTGCATCTAGCAATAACTTCACCCCCCAACCGCAGCCGTCAACTACAACTCCAGGTGTTGTTAGCAACCCCACCACATCCTCAGCTTCCACAGCAACTGGGAGTAGCAATCAGAATCTTAACCAAATCGTAAGCCGTAACTTATCTTTTTAATTACGTACCTACCTCCTAGTTATTTTTATTCTTACAACAAACTTTCACTCCTGAATGTCATCATCTTCAAATTTCGTACGCCATCTTCGTCACCATCTTCTGGAAGCAAGCTGTTCCATCACTACAAACACCCATTTTCCAATCTCTTATATTCTTCATTAATCGGTAATTACCAAATTAACACTCGATATCTATTTATCTTGTGCCAGCCTAAGATTAAAACACGCGCGCAAGCATACCGGTCTATTAAATCCGTATCATCATTCAGACCATTTTCTATCTACATTCATAACTCATCATCATGTCTAAACGTCCTGCTCCTCAACTTCCATTCCAGAATGAGGTTCTAAAGAGGCCTAGAGCTTCCGGCGAGCATATCCCCATGAGTCAAACTAGTTTCCAGAATTCTAATACACCAAAACCTCCACAAAGACCCTTCCATGAACTAGTATGCTTGGTTTTGCATTGCCTTTTCCCTTTCACCTTACTTGTACTTTATTTAGTATTAAACAAGGCTAATTACGTCGTTTAGGTTACCGATTACCTCATTAAGAAAGGGTATAACCGTACAGAAGAAATATTCCGCCAGGAGGTGAAGGATATTAACGAGAACGGGAAACCTCGAGATCATAATGATGCAGTGGCCCCAAACAAGTTCCTCCCCGCAGGAAAGTATCTGAGGGCGTTCAAACATTTTGCACGATGGATTGATAACGGAGTCGATCTTTACAAGGTATGTATTATTCCTAGCTAAATACTAGATGACGGTCATCTTACCCGTGGATAGTTTGAGCTGGGGAAGATTCTTTGGCCTCTCTTCATTTATTCCTACCTCCGCTTGGTTAGCCAGGCTTCCTATACTCATGCACAGGAACTTATGGAACAAATCCGGAGCCGGTTTCAAAAAACGCATCATGACGAGTTGAAGAGTCTGTCTACCATAACCCTCTCCGTACACGTCCGGGAGAACGCGTTCGCCAAGGCGTATCTAGAGAACCAGTACGTCATTCCGATTAGCAAGTCTCTAACGGGACATCTATTCCACTTTTTAGAACGAGAGTTGGAACAGTGCGGAGCCATAGTTCTTGATATTATACAGCAACACTGTCGTGTTGATTCTGTGGATCGGGGTCCTATCGAGCCGTTTAGCTTCGAAGCTATTTACCGCCGTGCTCGTCATCAAGAACTTGATGAAGTCGACATCCAAGAGGGTATCCCAGGTGTCTCCAGCCGTAGTGGCCTTTCCAACCGCAACATCCTCGATAATACCGCCGCCCTGAAGCTTGGACCACTCCCGATAGATCCCGATCTTCGGGGCGATGTTGTTGCTGAGCTGGAAGAAGAGGATAGACTTCGTCCACCTCGAGAAGGATTACCTACATTAGTAGAAGAATTCAATGCCATGCATCCTATCAAGAGAGAATCAGGCGATTCTCCACAGCGAACAGATATTCCATACCCTCCATCAAGAGCAAGAGACGTCGTCATGGAAATGCAGAAAGTTCGAGAAAATCGAGATCGGTTCAGAATTGAAGGTCGTACCGGTGGTGTAGGCCCTGGTGTTTCAGTTTGCATGTTTACATTCCACAATCATCTCGGGAGGTAAGAATTACTTTAGCTTGCTAGCTTAGAATTCCGCGTTAACGTCATCTAGCATCTCGTGCATGGACTTCTCGAAAGACCAAGAACTTGTGGCGGTAGGAACTACAGAATCATACATTCGCGTATGGTCTCTTGACGGCAAAGCTTTGAAGTCTCGTCTGGGGCCCGAGAAGGACATGAAAGTTAACAACCGCAAGTTGATCGGCCATTCTGCTCCCGTCTATTCCGTGGCTTTTTCGGATGCTGTAGCCAACTTAGATCGTAATATTTACGAAGGCTCGCCTCAGCCGGAGACAGATACCAAGCTTCTTCTTTCCTCTTCGGCCGATGGCCAAGTACGATTGTGGTCTCTTGAGGTTTGGACCTGCCTTTGCATATACAGGGGTCATGATGGCCCGGTCTTCTCTCTCTCGTGGAGTCCACATGGTCACTACTTCGTGACTGGCGGGTGGGATAAAACCGTCAGAGTTTGGTCGCAAGACCACGCATCGGCACAACGTCTCCTTGTCGGCCACGACACCGCCATTTCGGCCGTGGCATGGCATCCTAATGGCACGTATGTATTCTCAGCTTCTGACGAGACAGACAAATCGATCCGCATGTGGTCTGTGGTCAGTGGCAACTGCGTTCGTATATTTACTGGCCATACTGAATACATATCTGCAATGGAGTGTGCCCCTAACGGCAAGATCCTCGCGTCAGCTGATATCGGTGGTAACATCTTTCTATGGGATATAGATAAGGCTACCCGTATTAAGCGTTGCCGTGGCCATGGACGTGGTGGAATTTGGTCACTCAGTTTTAGTGTTGAGAGTAACGTGCTCATATCCGGTGGACAGGATAATACGGTGCGCGTTTGGGATGTTGAGATGCCGGCCGAAGGCAGTCGTCCCGCAAACCAACAGGACGGGGATAGCACAATTGTTGCGGTAGGTGGACAAGGCGATAACAAACAAAGCGGGCAGACAACGCAACCTGCCAGCGGTGCAGCTGGCGGTACGGGTAAGAGGAAGGGCAAGGACGTCATGATAACACCAGACCAGATTAGCGCGTTTCCGACGAAGAAAACACCTGTCATGAAGGTTCAGTTCACCCGTATGAACCTCGTGCTAGCCGGCGGATGTTACTATCCCGAGACTCAGGATACGACTCGATAAATTCTACGCCTCGTTTGTTACCTTATCGACCCGGAATTATCAACCCTTTCTCAATAGATTATTGCCTATATTTAGGAGCACACGTTTTGATAAGTTGGTTATCTTGTTAACCATATACTGGCACGAAGCATGTCCCTTCGGCACGGCGTTATTAAGTATAACTTAATGCAAACAAAAAAAAAAAGCTGATTATACGAATATGTAGAAACACTGGAAGGGGGATTGAGATGGCTCTCCATGGACTGCATTCTCTAAATAGGAGGATGTTAGGAAGTTAATCGTCGATGGAAGTGTTACAGGAAGCAACTTGATTAATCTGATACCATTCTGCGTGTGAATACGGGCCAAAATTTGGCAGCAGGTAGTAAATGCGAACCCTTTTCATTAAGATTCTAGACCCCGTTGCTTAATGCCAGGCCGTGTTTTCATTATCCTAACTAGTTCACTGTGAACCATATCGAAGCAGTTTATCTCCTGGCTTTGTTTCCGTAGCTCCCGCACACGTTCTGTAAACCGTTCATCTTCTAGCACGCGTTCAACGCCCCCTCTAACCTGCTCAACTGATGGTTTCGCGCAACCAAGGTCGATTCCGATCCCGGACCAGGCTACTCGTCGCGAGTTTTCCGTTTTATCCATTCCTTCGCCCGCGACTACCATGGGGACCCCGTTCGCAATACCATGGTTCACAGCGCCGAATCCCGCGTTATGTATCCATACGTTAGCGTGGGCTAGTGCCGCATCGTACGAAAGGTAGTTAGCAATACGAGCGTTAACCGGAATCTCAATATCGACACCGTAGCTAGATAGGTTGGCATCCTTCCACCCGAGAATGGCAACAACCAGCACGTCCGACCGGTTAGCGAAGGCACGCAGTGTAGGTACGATCAAATCGTAGGGGTTTATCTCTACGGTACCTTGCGCGACGACGATAACCTTCTTTTTTGCGGCGCGACGCGGATCTGAGGGTAGAAGGGTAGAAAGGGCGGTATTAAATGTGAGTTCAGACCACCAAGGGAAGTTAGGGGTTTTATTATTACGAGCAGGAGCAGGAGAAGGAGAGGATGGCTGTTCTCCGGGATTTGCAACTCGGTGGCGGGCCTTGTACTAGCCCTGCAAACTTGAAGCCAGGAGGCCAATCGCTGCGTGGATATTCAAACCCAGGAACGCCAAGCTGTAGGATAGTATCATGGCACAGATAATTTGCGCCTGAGAGGAATATTTCATCGACGCAGCGATCAGCACCCGCCTCGCGCATCTTAGTGACTAAGAGTGCGGCTAGGTAGCTGGTTTTGCGCTCCCAACTTCTTTCCCAAAGATTTGCGTTACGCACGCGGCCGTCTGGTGACGAGTCAAAGGGGAAGGGATACCCAGCAGGCGGTAAGTCGACACTACGGATCGCAGGTATAGTCACCGATACGCACAATGATCCCAACAGAATTTCTTCCAATTTCAAATCATGGGGAAGTGATGCGCCATAGAACAGCGGTAAAGTACCATAGAAGAACGCCTCGGCTAATAAGATAATCTTGCGCTCCGGATCACGAGTCTGCAATACTCTCAAGGCGTCTACGAAGCAGGACCATTGCGTAGGAAGAGGGTCAAGACACTGCTTGCGCAGATCAACCAGCACGCGGTCAGCCCAGTGCAGTGCTGCGTATTCAGGAAAAGGTGGGTTTTCATAATACGCCTTATCGTCGAGGTCGGCATCTTCTCGTAAAGGCAAAAAAACGGCGCCGGTCGCTTCTATACCTCGACGGTGCGCGGTCGGTCCTAAGAAGAAGGTCTCCCAGCCTAATGCATGAAGGGCTGTAGCTATGCGGATTAGGGGAGAGAGGTGTCCCGTTAAGGAGTGACAGACGATTAGCACAAAGGGGCGGTGTGTTTCGGCTTGAATCGGCTTCAGGTCGGTCATTGCGAGTTTATGTGTTTATGTGTTTTCGCTTGGGTTCGGCTTCGAAATAACTAGAACTAATATGACCTAAGTTTTACACTAATCAAGTAACTCAGATGCTAAAATATTAAAGATTAATACCTAAGGTAAGACTATTAGGCAAGCACCTTCCCATAAAGTACTTTCTTTAGGGTGTGTTGCTGTGCCTTAACCTTGGGTACCTTATTGTGCTGCCTAGAACTTTACCTAGGACCTAGGTACATAAGTGCCCGGATGAATTCCATTACATGTGACTAGGGAGCTGACTAAGCCCCCTTTCCCCCTTTTACTTGAACACGGTGGATAAGAGGTTGCTATACCTTAGGTACCTAAGTTACCTATATAAAGGCATTACCTAGGTAGGTATTTTCTTAGTATCTTTTTAATGGATTGGAACTATCCAATAAAGAACCTATTAAAGAAGTAGTATACCTGTATATAATGCATTGTTTTAGAGGCACTTAGAGGCTGTCTTAATTTTAAAATCTATTAGAAGCGCCAGAAATGTTTTATGCTAACTTGGTATTTCAAACTTTTAATAACGTTGCTACGATTTCTTTCTAAAAGTAGACCCGGGGAGGCGATCAACAAACTTGCGTGAACTACTCATGGTCTGTGGTGATCATCTTATTCATAATAGTCGTATACACTCGATAAATTCTACCCGAGGATCAAAATTCACGAAAGTATCTAAGTGTTTACGTACCTAAAATAACAATGTGCTTTTTATAGGTCTCTTTACATTAAATGCATTGTCCTTAACAATTAACTATTGTTCATATTTAAAACGTAGTCTTCCTTATAGCTATCTTTGTATGCTATAATACCTTTCTCTCTTTCAGTAAATTTTACAATGAACTCGAGTCAAACATACGCCCGTATATACTAACAAGATATACTTATATGATACAAAATAGTCACGGTATCCGTTTATAGCTTCATGTTCTCCGACACTTGGGAATATGACCAGAGAGGGCAGGAATTAAAAATAGTTTCTTGTTCTTGACAACCCCCTCAGCAGCAATTTCTATTTCTATTGTCAAACTTAGGTCTCCGGTTGAAGACTGAAATTTAAGAAACTATAGAGCATGGCGCAATATGAAGGAGCTGAGCTCGAAGTCGACGAAATCATTGCACTATATTTCGATCTGGACGGAGCTTCCTGCCCGTCGGACTTAGATTTCAGTCATGATTCATCTCAAGATTCTAGTAAGTTTGATACAGACGTAGCAGGCTCTACGACTACCGATGATAATGGAGATAGTGGGTATATATCAGAATCATGGCAAAATATGGAACGTATAAACTTTTCCGGCGGCAGTGGTTGCTATGTGTGGCCTGAAAGTTCGTACGTGATGATGGGCTCAGGAGGGCCATCGGTTTGGGAGGTTTATGGGACTCTTGGAATCAGATGGGATAGTTGGTTCAATTTTCAGGGGAATACTAGGTCTGTTGAGAAGGAATACCGCTTTCCTAGCGAATATGCTGGGATTGACTGGCCACAACTGATTCGAGAAGCTTACCAGGTATCATATTAGAATAGTGATGTGTTCCATCGTATATTGGTAATTGTGTAGTGGTTTACTGATCTTACTCTACTATCTAATAGATATCTATAAGCACTATGTCTTAGGTAATCAGTAGATATAAAATAGAAGTGAGCTTTACAAGCGGGACGCCTCTACATCATAATAGGTACATGTGATGTAATTAAATATCTTGGTGGCAATATAATTGTCTTTCAGCAGGATGAAAGTTACCTGTTCTCAGAATCTGATAATGTCACATTACCCCTAATTCTAAAGACCATCTGTCATAATAAAGTCATGTATAAACTAACGAGAAGCAGTCACGACGAATAGCTACCTAGGTAGGGGGCTAAAAATTTAGATTAAGCCACACTTCTAGATGGTCGTGGTATCATCAAATCTCGGGGTAATAGCGACATGTTTGCTGACAGATTACCCTGAGAGTTTGCTTTCTGACAGTCCGGGTGAGGGTAATGGTCACCGACCTTGGCAACAAAACACCGAAATATCTCACTCCATCTGCAGGTCTTTGGCTTGCAGCTTTGCATCCACTCTACCACTTTCACTTTCACCCCCAACTCGAACCAAGTGAAACATGGTCGACTATCTATTATCTAAAACATGTCTTCGCCCCGGCGCCACTGAATCAGCAAAAGCAATGATAACCACCTACCTAAGGTTCATGTGACAATATTATAATAGGTACTCATCGATTGATTGATTTTCTTCGTTCATTTCCGCCAGTTCAAAGTAGAGAACTACCTTAGCTTTCAGCTCGAAAAAACTAAAGGTATTATAATAGTTGCTGCATTGTCATTCTTACGTAAAATACCTACCGTAATGTGAGGCTGGGCTACAAGGTAATAATGATTGCCTATTACAATTACTAATAAATACTGCTAGATAATACATTAGGTTAGTATTTTAAGAGTGTCTTACAATACGTGGTAGGCTGGTTTCTTCCCGTAACTGGCGTCCTTTGTTGTGCTAACGTAAGACTTCGCATACCACCAAATAAGATATATCCGCATCATACATCTCGTGCTAAAGGTGTGAAGAATTGTCGAATGCGTACGACGTGAGCTGACAGCTGAGTCAGGCACATGATAAGCTCTTGAGCACACCGGGTGAACCCCATCGGTAGGTTGTTAGAGTTCCTTGCGGAACAACGAATTTGTTTCCATGCTGTTTAGTTCCACCTCGTGACAATCGGAGTATCATAGAGACGTGTAAGGCTATAAGTACTGAGGCATATATCCCTCAGATAGTCAGCATCGTATGAAGTGCAAAATCAATATCCATAAATTCATCCCAAGAACAATGGCAACCATCACAGGTATCAGTGGTAACCAATATATACCAGGAGCAAAGGAATACGATGAAGTAAAGTATCAGTACGCGACATCAACTTATGGCAAGGAACGCGACCTCAACCCAGGATTAATTGTCCAACCTAAGACGAAGGAGGATATTGTACTAACCCTCAAGTATGCTAAAGAGAAGAAAATCGCGGTAGCCATCAAGACAGGCGGCCACCAATATAGTGGAGCTTCGTCTACGAGCGCTCCAAATATTCAGCTGGACCTAGAGCATTCATTTAGGGGTCCAGAGGATCGAGCTATCTTCGAGAAAGATGGAAAGGCATATGCTCGTACCAGCGTTAGCTGGAGCCTTGGGGAATTCAATGCTTGGGTTACGGAACATAAGCTGTTTGTACCTCATGGGCAATGCACTGAGGTTCATGTCGGCGGACACGCACAAACTGGAGGTAATATCCCCCTTGTTGAAAGTCCATATAGAAGTTGCAGTTTTTAAAAGCATCAGTTACTAATAGGAAATAGGTTACGGTCAACTGGGACGTAGTTTCGGGTTATTCGGGGACCACATACTATCTCTCGAGATCGTAGACACTGACGGAAACTTCAAGGAAATCACCAAATCTACTGACCCAGATCTCTTTTGGGCTTTCTTAGGTGGCAGTCCCGGTAACCTTGGAGTCTTGACTCATTTCACTATCCAGATGCACCGCGACCAAGACTATAACGGCTCTAAGGGTATGAAGGCAATGTACCTCTACGACACCCAAACCTTGAAGCGTCTAGTTGACATCCTTGTTGAGATGTCTGACAATGAAAACTTTCCTCGCAACTACGACTTTTGTATCAGCGTGCTTAGCTCGGCATTTCCTCTACTCGATCTATGCCCAGGAATTGACGAGTGGATGGCACGGAAGCACCCAGAGTACTACGGCAAAAATGGACTGATTGCGTGGCCGCGTACCATTGTCGTGTTTGCGCAGTGGGTGCCGTTCGAGAGTGGTGACGTGTGCGATAATTCATGGTTTGATCGTATTAAGGAGGGCTCCGACTGGATTCTTGGTAACAGCAATGTTCAGGAGAAGCCCATGTCGCAGCTCACTGGTGACTGGATTTTCCGTAACGTGCGCGAGTTTGAACACCCATACGTCAAGCGTACTTACAGTACTCGTTCGCACACGCTTGCTAAAGACGGTTGGGCCGACTGGGTTGTCAACCGTATCGATTCTATCATTCGACCCGAACACAACCGGTGCTGGTTGTCGGCACAGCTACAGTGTTTCGGTGGGAAGAACTCCATGTTCACGCGGAATGCAGGAAACGGTACGGCGTACAGCTGGCGAGACACGAGTATCTTGTGCACAATGGACTGCTTCCACAGCGATGAAACTAAAACGCGAGCTGAAGACTGGCAAAAGGTGAACGATGAGGAGGCCATCGGCCCCAACGGTATCTTTTCAAAAGAGGACCGCCGTGTGCTCTGGGGCTCGTACGGAGAATGGGATTTGGATGCTGTGTGGAACTGTTACTATGAAGATAGGGTAAAGTATGACAAACTTCGTGAGATTAGAAAGAGAGTTGATCCTTATGGGATCTTCACGCCAAATCCCTTTTCCGTCAAGCGAGCAGAATAATTTCTTTCTTTAGTCTTAGGATTGAGCAGCTGATTGGAGGTAACGAGATTTCTAAGTCTATAAGGATGGTGGGTAATATAGCTGTGGCGCGTTCCGTACTACATAGGTAGATACCATGATCTACTATCACACTCCCTATTCATACCTACCTCTATGTTTGACAACTCTTAGTTATATAAGTTTCGAACTCCGAGGTGGGCTGGTATCATTTTTTTTTCTTGTGTATACTAACTTCATATAGTTAAAGCATTAATATAATAGTTAAATTAAAAACAACTTCAGGTATCTAGTACGCCTTTGTATGCTGCCCTGAAATACTCTATACTGTAACTCTGCCATACGTCTAGCTATATAAGTCTAACACCCTTCTAATTCTAGTTTATTCGTCTAAGCCCACCCGATTCTAAATAGTTTATATCCACTCTCATCTCCACGTCCAACGCCACGGCGCTTTTCAACACCCTCCATGTTCAGAATTGCGAGATGTCGATTGTCTGAGGTTTGGGAGTATGATCCATTGAAGGCGGCTTCGACAGAGTCAACCACAGTTTCGAAGCGGCCATTCGGGCGTATAGTCATGAGTAGCCAGAACACACCCTTAGGTGCGAGCAGACGGGTCGCACAGTCTCGAAGCCACACAGCGTGCTCAGGTGCGTATACCACGTCGGTCGCTACGAGCACGTCTGCTGATAAGTCGAGCGGTGCTTCCAAGATAGGGGCGGACCAATTGAGGAAGCATGTCTCTACGCTTACCCGGCTGAGCTTGACATTAGACTGTAGATTCTCAAGAACAGCCGGATGATAGTCTGTTGCTATCAAGGTGGCATCAGATACACCGAAGTGAGGTAGCGCTTTAGCAAGAACAAGACTGACTAGTCCCGTCCCGGCACCAAGCTCGATGATACGCGGAGACGAGCCGAGGGTTTCTTGATTAAGTCCGAGCCGGTCTGGTGACGAACATAACAGGTCAGAGAAAACAATGGATGCACCCCAGCTCTGTAGGCCAACATCGGTGTGATCTGTGGAGGTTTGTGGTGCATCATTGAGTTGCACGTCTATCGAGACCTTTTCACGGATACCAGACTCCTTCAACCCAGGAGAACCCTGATTGGAGAATAACGATAGTTCGAAAGAAAATTCTCGTGTAATTCCGGAATCCTCTTCGTCATCTCCGTCCGCGAGTTTGGTGAACGAGGCAAGGATAAAGGAAGCTTTATCAACCGCCTGCTCGCGCTCGTCTTCATTACTCAGGGGTAGCTCTTCCGCGCTGGCGATTAAAGTAGTCAACCAGCGAATAGCGAAGTTACGCTCGAAGGTGTCTGCACGTAACTCGTCAAGATCATATTCCGAATCTATATCATCCTCGGAGACGTAGCCGGAGTCGATCGGTTGGACTAGTAAATCATCATGAGCCTTCCCATGTTCGAGCTGCGACTTAACTGCCCGTGGTAACGAGACGGGGCAGTACAACTCATAAAGGTTATCTAGAGCCGAGAATATTCGGTCCCTATTGAGTGCAGTCAACGAACGTAAAGGTGGCAGGCTGCTCGTAGGAGACAGCAGATGACCCGCTGGGTTCATTGGAGTCCTCGGTCAGACTCGCGGTCCGTCTCCGGGGTGGATGTCCTAACGAATGAAAAAAGGGAAAAACATGAACATAAGATAACGAGCGACTGGTGAGGGTTTTATGAATTAGGAAAAAAAAAGTGAGATGGATTATTACGTCGGGGCCTAGAACGGGCCCAACGGAGTGGATCTTGAATAAGACCCACTTGCCACACAACTTTTGTTACTATCGTGAAAAGTCTCGGCGATAGCGGTGAATGCGACGAATCCCCTGACTCGCCATTTCCCATGTGCTTCTTCCGTTGGCTACAATTGTTTTTACTTATCTTTACTTAGACAGAGCAAGATATTATAACAGGTAGGTAGGTTTATATATTTGATATTTTATCAATACTTTTTATAGATTAACTAACAACTTCATTAAATTAGGTATACAAGGTACATTCAAATCCATACGTTTCTAAATGCTTTAATCTAGGTATTACCGGTCTTCACGATGGCTGCATCCCAGCATATTCATAGTTATATCGCTCGATACGTCGAGTAAAGACGCATATTTTAGAAAATGAATTACTGCTTAGGTATCTGTCATAGTATGGTAGAATACTTATTGACCCCTATCTCTTCATGTAAGACTGTTCAAAGGTGTTTTATTTCCTATACTCCCATGTGCTATCCGTATCCGATCATTTCCTTTTCAATCAACTTGCAATACTGGGCTCTCTACAGGAATGAAACCTTTCTCTCACACTATTTAACCACCCATCACAGTTATGGTATGGACGTAGCGAAGCTTGCCTTTCTCGACTCGGAACTCGTGGCTGTCTGGAACAGTCGCAAAGTCGATGAAGATGTCAACAGCACCAAGAGTCTCGTCAATGACATAACGACGGTTGCTCAGATTGACTCCTGCAAATTAAGCGTTAGTGATCTATCAAATTCCCTCGTTGTTCTAAATAGATATGACTTACCATTGGGAACACCGACATCACACCTATCGTCGGCGGATCCAGAGCCAGTGTAAGCACCACCCTCAAGACGTGCGCAAGGGTGTCCCCAAGGGACTTGTACGGACTTGTCGTTGAAGAGGTCGGCGTAGGCATCGGCTGCGGCCTGGATCACCTCGCGGCTGTCGCGCTGGTCCTCCGGGATTGGGTCCCACTTCTCCTGGGATGCCCAGTAGAGGGTACCGGTAGCGTTGAAAAGCCAATCGCCCTGATCAGTAACGAGAGAGCTGATATTGGCGATCTTTCCGTCGGCGAAGCGCAGTTGCGTGCCTATGACGTACGGGTGCGCCTTGTCTGTGACAACGATCTCGGTGTAAGTTGCGCATTGGGTGGTGTCGTGGAGACTACGGTTGAAGTCAATATTGAGCGCGTGAGACAGTATTCCAGTCTTGATATCAGCCGTCTTAAATGCTTCCAAGTAGACCACTGTGTCGGCCAGAGGAGCTACCGTGTCGGGAGTTCCCGCAGTCTGTGCTGCAAGGAGACTATCAGTAGCAGCAATGAGGTCTTCGCGGGTGCATTGTGCTACGGCCTGAGCTGCAAGGAGCCCTAGAGCGACGAGAGTGAGTCTCAACATCTTCAATATTGCCTATGGGAACTGGTACCAAGTAGAAGAGGAAGGGAAACTTGAGATAACTGCCATTCTTACATCTGGGGCGAGTCGGGGTAGCTCCTCCTAAATATGAATTATTACATGATGTCAAAACCGGCAAAGAAGATGATACTGTCGTACTCGAAGAGAATAGCCATATGAATTTTGTGTGGGGTTGTTTCGGCAATTCCACAGAGCTGGAAGATCATCATCCGCCCATCAAGTCTAGAAACCAGACGATTAGCACCTAGTAGAAGTCGTTGCCACTTTCGTCACCTCGATTAAGACTCAACTTAAATTTAACGAACCCTATTACTTAATATGTTCCAAGAAGTGCCTGTAGTTTTATGTTCTTCTAACTATGGGGAAAGGATGTATGGAGATAGGCAATGGTAAACGATATACCCGAGAGCCGGGAAAGATCCATCTTCATAATTATTCTATCTTTACCTCAAATGACTTGAGGCGATTAATCTATTCTTAAATAGTATTATAAAGAAAGCTCATATCCTTTTGTACTTCATATCCGTAAATGAAGATTAGGGCAACTTAGGTTTCTTAGACTGTTTTCTAGATATTCGTCACAAGAGTATGTCGTTATCTTCTTCCCTTCCCTTAACTCCTTGAAATGTCTTTGGTTAAAGATTGTTAGAGATTCCTTCTGGGTTAAATTTGTGAAATTTATTTATTTGAAAATTCAAGTGTTGTGCTTGAAAGGACAATGAAAAGGGAGTGGTAAAGGTACCCGGGGGAGAAAACGAATTGGTTTCTATTTCGATGGCTAAAAAAAGGCTACAATTCTATTTTATAATTACCTATATTTGAATATATTTCACATTTGCTAGATTTTAAGTGATGCTATTCAAATTGCATCCGTATAGTATCTAGAAAGCTGATCGTCATTAGCGCACGGAACTCCAGGCGTAAATAGGCCCTATGCCCGCTACGCTGGTCCAAACGCCTCTTCTAGAATACAACGCGTGTCCCACTACTAACAAATGAATTTTTTTTTTTTTTTTTTTTTTTTACAATATAGACCACGAAGAAATGGAAAACCAAAAGCCAGAAGTGTACAGGCTGCAGCTGTGCGACCGAGGACTGCATCAGAGAAAGTTAAGCTTACGAATACGAAGGGTATTATGACAAGAAATGAATCATTGAGTAAGAAGCGCAAGGCGGGTATGTCATTCGAAGAGGAACTCGCAGCTCTCAATCGTAACCTAGACGCCATCGTTGGTTCTGATATTTTCGAAGACGAGATGATGCTTAGTTACGACATTGTGCGTAATTGGATCGGAAAGTTACTCGAGGTCAATATAATGAACAAGATCGAATTTTCTCAAGTTATTGAGTGCAGTACAAATACCCTGAATTAGGTACTTTTCTGAGATAAACCGAGCCCAAAAAATGGCCAGAATAGTTTCGCATATCACAACACTTAGACATGGCTAAAGCAACGCCAAACAGCGAAGTCAGCGAAGTCAGCGATGCCGAATACGAACAAGAAGTAAACGCAAAAGGCCAATTCTACGAGTTCAAGCATATGCAAGTAGCGTCCCAAGGTGTCATCAATGGCGGCTCTATTCTCGGACATTAAGCACATCTGCTTGGACGATGAGGAGATAGACTCATGCGACGAGATTCGACGGAAGATCAATGCGCATCTGGGAAACCCCGAGAGTAACACAGTCATAATTATGTCGTGATCTGTATGCACAGCTCAATGCGCCCACGGTTAAGTGCATCCAGTCCAAACAACTTAACGACTTCCGTCGTGGCTACGGTGCTAAAACAGGAACTAAGAGCACTGTATTCTATACCGCATATGAGGTATATTTCGAAAAGCTACGTCTTGCACAGGGTAAGCCTAATACGAAGCAGGGCCTGGATATGGAGGATATCTTGGTATGGAGAGGAGGGTTCGATCGTGAGACTGATAATAGGACCGTGTAAGAGTCGTCCGTCTAGAGGACTTTGCAGATTTATACAGGAGGTACTTACTAGATTCTAGGTTCGTTGGATTAGCAAGCTCGAGTCCCTACGTTTACTCTGATCGTTATGGGCGCATTATTTCGACGCCCGTGTACCTATAATGCGACTTGAGAAGGAGTCCTAAATCATGCCAGGTAAAATCCCGATCGCAAGATCATATCTTTCATTCTTCTAAGTCCACCCTTTCTAATATCTAATATAACTAATGCATTAATGTTAAGGACATATCTTGGAGTAGAACCGTCTGCAGTCACTACACCCGTCCTCTTCCATATATTACGTATGAAATAAGAAAGAAAAAGGCTCTATATCTTCTCATTTCTAGGTCGCCTTGGGACTTATCATTGTCAAGATCCTATGGTAATACTGGAGTCCCACTCCAGTAAGAGCAGCCGCAATGACCACTCCGATATAGGCTGATGGATTGTAGTAGCTATGGTTCCTTGATAACGCATTCTTTGACTTCTTCCCCTTGACAATAGGATGGTGGGCGTAAGGTATTTTCAAGTTTTTGGTATCAGACTTCTCTTCCAGCCAATCCAGGACAGGGGCACGGGAGACGACTGGCCCATATATGCGGTTTGTGCTGTATACTCCGAAGCTAGTGTAAGGGATGATGTATTTAGTCATGATCTTATCCATTGGGCTGAGCCACGCGTAAGCTCGAGCACGACGCATGGACATGTCATGAACTATTGGCTCATCCTTTTTCCGCTCCTCCTGGTAGTCGGCGAATACCGCTTCTAAGGCTTTCGTATCCGGTGACCGAGTAGTCTCGAGTAAGCGTCGGAGCTTATTCACGAGGACAACTACATCGGCCAAACCGCTATTATATCCTAATCCGGCGTGAGGCTCTAGTTTCCGAATAGCATCACTTGCGAGGACGATACCGATTCCAATACCATTTGTCTACACGACCCTCCTCCAGGTTGATCATACCAAAGTTTCCATCCTGTAGGCCGAAAACGTCGCGCACTCTCATGCCGGGAGCGGTTGTACAGATGTCCCCATCTCTGTATGGCCTCCTCCTTATCCTTTTCGGTATATTTGATGCGTTCTGACGTAGGTTTATCAAGCGCTTCATACACGCCGAACCATTGCTAGAGAGTTACCAGTGAGAAGCTGAGTTGATACACGTCCTGACGCGCATTCGTGATTGACATTATTTGGTAATGTCGGAGGAATAGGTATACTTCCAAAGACCATCCTGTATGTGGTGACGTAGGGACTCTTAGGGGTTTCCGATATGCTCGGAGCTGCCCTACCCTCCTCCATCGCCTGCATGCATTGGCGAACTCTACTGTGAACGCCGTCTAAACCTATCACAATGGAGCCCCTTTCCACGGTACCATCGGTACACTCGACGACCACTCCATCATCTGACACGTTTACTTTGAAGACGTGCTTCTTGACCTTGATTCGTG